ATGTATACACTTGTCAAGACTCTGCATATCATATATGTAAAATGGGTGTATTTTATTATCTCGAAATTATACCTCAATAAAGTTGACATTAAAAGTGTGGTGGAGGATATCAGAGAGAGCAAGGCTGTAGGATGTATAAAGGGCTCATTAGAGGTTATATCAAGAAATTATAATGGCACATTTTTTCCAGCAGTACCTTGCAGCTTGGAATTTGAAATTGGCAAAATAAATGTAGCAGGAAGATGAAATGTCGGGGAGGCTTAGGGTGCTATGTCGGATAATATTAAAATGATTGACTGATGGACACCTGCTGGGTAAGGAGGCAAGTGCAGCTAAGAAGCTGGTAGTTGTGAGAATGGGGACAATGTAGTTGTAAAGAAATTAAAAATAAAATCCAACGAACATGTAATATGGGCTTATTATATATCATGGATGCTTTTATGTGCCGGAAGTACAAGAGTAAACAAGATTTCTGACCACAAGAATCTCACATTTTTGCAAAATAAATAAATGAATGAGGTTTTAAAAAAGCACTTAAACCCAAGTATAAATGTTAACTTTTTTATGCTTCAAACTTCCTTAAATATCACATTTTTTCATCTTTTTTCTTGGATAACATTTTTATTTTCCTGGAATGTATTTTATTTCCTGGAATGAAATATAATTATTTCACAAACATTCCGTGGATCTTACACTTTCTAAGTTCTGTTGTTAAGGAATGCTCTTTTCCCTCTTTCTCAAATACTAATAGCTTTCTAGGTTCAAATCATTTTCCCTTAGACTTTGAAGATTTGTTCTATTTGTCTGATAAGTACCATGATCAGATTCTTTCTGATTCCTGTTGATTTTATTCCATAGGTGCTATTAGGATGGTGCTCTTTAGGAATTAAGAAACTTATTTTAAAATTACCATTTTTTTCACTTATCCTTTTATTCCCATCAGTGTGACCCCTAGTGTTTTTTCCACCTCTATGAAATTTTGTTTTATCATGTCTGTGATTATCCCCTCCTCTCTGTTCTCTCTTCTCTCTTGGGAATTCCTTTTCAATACTGTGTTGGAATTTCTAGACCTATCTCATAATTATCAGCTCTTTGTAATTTTGTACTATGGTTTGAAAGAATTTCTTTGTCTTTCCCAAGTGTTTTGAATGCAGCACTTTGGGGAAGTGGGCTAGAGGAACAGATCTCATTGACTGTTCTTGGACAGTAAGGCAAAACATCACAGCTGTGCTTCTCTGGAGAAGCTGTCCATTATACCTGCCTTAGAGAATTGTACTAGCTAACATTTTTCAAAAACACACAAGACCTTTTCAAGAATGTTTGCACATAATGATTAAAAAAAAAAAAAAAGTCCATCACCATGGACAGTGTGGCTCAGCTGTTGAGTATCACCCCTAGCACTGAAAGGTTGCTATTTCAGTTCCTGGTCAGGGCACATGCCCAGGTTTGGGATTTGGATCCCTGGTTGAGATGTGTGTAAGAGGCAACCAATCGATGTTTCTCTCTCACATCGATGTTTTTCTCTCTCTCTCTCCCTTCCTCTCTCTAAAATCAATAAAAATTTTTTTTTAAAGCACATGAACATATTGCTACATAGAACTGTGCTCAGAGATATGCCCTCTAGCTACATATATGCATCATTGTCTGTCTTATATGATAAACTTTCTAGGTGTCCTATATTTACCTTTTATGATACTATCTATTTAATTAATGATTTTTGAATAGTCATGGTAACTAAGGTCTCCAAGTTTTATCACTGCCTTTATCCTTGGCAGTATAGATATATAAATGTTTACAATTTGCTTTGGAAGCATTTCAGTATAATTAAGCAATTTGTATTGTTTTAAGTATTCCTAAGAATTTAAACATTTTATTTAAAATATATGTATTTAAGATACATATATTTTATAAACCTTGCATGAAATAGTATTTTTAAAAGAATAAACATCCTACCTAATCATTTATTTTTGTTGTTTCAACAAACTGTGAGATTTATAGGCCCTATTAATGTGTGTGGCCTTATAAGAGAATTAAATACCAACTTCAGATATTATATTTGTATGAATTAATTGTTTAAAATCACAGTAGTAACCATGGTAACATAGTTCATAATGTGTTTTGTTTTTCAATATGTTTTTATTGATTTCAGAGAGAGGAAGGGAGAGGGAAAGAGAGAGAGAAACATCAATGATGAGAATCATCAGTTGCCTCCTGTGTGCCCGCTACTGGGGATCAGGTTTGAAACTTGGTCATGTGTCCTGACTGGGAATCAAACTGTGACCTCCAGGTTCATGGGTCAACATTCAACTACTGAGTCACACTGGTTGAGCTAGTTCATAATGTTTTTTTAGACTTACTAGTGAACACAGATTGTTCACGAAATTTTATATTTGACATTTTCATTATATTGGTGTCAATTGAAAGCAGCTTGAAAGCAATTACTGAAAAATGCTAGTATCCCTAATGATAAGAAAGTCTGAGGCATTTAAAGATATCAGTTTCTCAGCTGTACTCAAATGGGACTGATAAAGAGATCCACAGTAGTCATAGGTCTGCAAACTATAAAGCGTGGGTCAAATGCACCGACCATCTGTTCTGATGAATGAAGTCGTATTGGAACACAGCCATACCCATTCATTCATGTGTTGTCCATGGCTGTTTTCACTCTGTAATAGCTGGGGTATGTCATCATTACAGATCCTGCAAAACCTACAAAGCCTGATGTGCTGTCTGGCCCTTTAGAAAAAATGTTTACCAATTCCTGCTTTATAGAGGGGCAACAGTTTTGTCCACTCTTACCCACTACTGCTTTCAGACGGGTATCAAATGACTCGCTTTTCTCTGAATACACACTGCATTTGTTGGTGTATGTTCTTGCTCAGTCTCTTTCCTCCACCTAGAATGTTGTTTCCTTTTAAAACTCATGTCTAAAATCTTGAAGGTGTGATTCTAATAACACTTCCTTCATGAAATTTTATAATGAAAAGAAAATTCCCTGGACATAGCTCCCGTGCACTTCCTGACATATACTCTACAGTCCCCTGCCTCTCTCGTGTGTGCACTTGCCTGGCATACGCAACCATGATTAAGTCCAATTTTCTACCTATTCCAGGCCTACCTGTTCCTTGCAGCTTAATCTAGCTGGAGAAAACACACGGGCATGCCGACTAATTTTACTTTCTGGCCATTCATGACCGTGGACTTCCAATAGGCATGGCTCTCATCCCCTGCTAATTTTAGTTTATTCTCCTTCTTGCCTTGATGGTGATTTCTTTTACTGTCCTCTGTCCTCAACCCCTAGCACCCCTTCCCCATCCTCACTCTCTGCTGATGACTTTTAGTCCTAATTAACTGCGAAAAACGAAAGCCATAGTCGAGAACTTACACCTCCACATCGACCCGCCTTCCAGTAAAGGGTGGCTGTGCTCTCACATTCACGATACTCCACACTCAACCTGGTTTGCCCTCATCTTTAGTGTTTTTGAGTGAATAGATAAATGTCTTTACTGCTACCGCATAAACCAATACTTACAACTTTTCTTTTGTTGCTAAGTCTATTAAAATGTATTTTACATGTGTGACTAGGCAAGTAAACAAACAGACTAAAACAAAACAATCGTGTTAGATTATGTTTTGTCACCACGATAAACTATAATGCTGGTGTAGAATGTTCGTAACATATTCACAATTCTTTTTACAAGTTACTGCAGAATTAAAGCTGTTAGAACTGGCCAGATGTGTTGATGTGTCTGCCCAGTCTTCCAGATATGTTACCCCTGGGCAATGACATCCCTCTAGGCTAGCAGGTCAACAAGCACAGGGCAGTGTGACCCAGTCGCAAGATTCCCAAACATCCTATTTGAGCTCTGGGAGCTCCCTAAGGGTCCGGCTGGGACTTAGTCTTGTTTTTTTGTTTTAACACCAGATGTAGGCACCCAATTGAATGAAGGACAAACCAAAGATGCTAAGTGCGAGGACATTTTATGGCCACGTGAAATTTGTACTCCAGGGTTACACACTGCTTCTGCAGCTCTCCAAAAATATGATGTAAAAGGAAATGGGCAATTTATTTCATCCCTTTATTTGCCTCTCATAAGTAATGAACCTGGTTTCAGCCACTTCTCTCTGCCAGGTTTTTGGTGAGAGTCAAGTGAGATAATGCCTGTGAGAGAACTTGAGCTCTGTTTTGCATCAGAGCAGTTTGGAGGCAGTTTTGCACTGTCAGAGAGAAGTGGCTTTTTATCAGTCACTTGGAGTGGGCCAGGTGCTTCCTACAGTAAGGGGGCCTACACTTCACAACCACAGAGTTTGTGAAAACCCTTGCACCCCTCCTCTCCCTGTCCAACCTGGATTGTGAGGTAAAATTTCTGTGGCTACATGTCCAACATTTACCTGAAGCAAACCACTGAACCTCTCAGAACCTCCATTTCTTCACTGTAAAGTAAGAGTAGTTTCTCTCACATAATGATATTGCCAGAATTAAATATGGTAATGTACATGAAGTAATTTTGTAAACCTGAAGGCACTGGGTAAGCAATACATAGTCTAACATTACCATCATTGATACTAATTATATTAATAGTTCACATTGTGTCTTAGCCAAAGAGAAAGGATTAGAATATTTTACCTTTTCAGGTTTTCTTTGACCATCATGGATTACACACACACACACACACACACACATTTTTACTGATTTTTAAAAAATTTTTTTTTTTGATAGAGAGAAACTTTGTTCAGTTGGTCTCAAAGCCTGGCTGTTCTTAAACTTGCTGTGGGGCCTGGGCAGTTTACCAAATGCTGCTAACCCTACCTCATAAGATTGTTGTAAGGATTAAATGTGATGCATCTATTAGGTGACTATTTAATAGAGTGCCCAGGGGAAAGTAGGTGCTCAATAAATATTAATTCCCTTCCCTTTCTGCCCCCCACCCCCACTAGTTTACTTGTGTTTTTAATGGATCATACTTTTCCCTGGATTTTATCATAGGATGTGTTCTGGATGGATGGCTGCTGGAAACCCATTGCCATAGCCAGCTCTTCTTCAATATTGAAGGATTTACCCTGGTATTGAGTAATGAGAATTTCGGTAAGAATAATTAGATGAAGATATTATATGGACTTTTCTAAAAGGTCACTTAAATCACAGACATTTTATAATATGACTCTTCTTTAAAGATCTTGGGATGTAACAGGTGTCTGTTCACACATGGATTGTTCTTATTTTGAAAGTAAATATAATAGGATTCTTATCTATTAACAACCTTGATATGCTCTTCATGTCTTATAAATGTATTATTTCACTTATCTCACCCAATTGTTCTTTAAATATTTATCTCTTCAGTGAATTGGGTAGTCTGGGTGTTACTCATTCTTTCAGTATAGACTAAATGAATCACAATCTTAGTGGTTAAAATGACAGTCAACACTGCTAGCTCTCTGAAATTCTAAAGCTGTGACACCATGAAAGAGGCAGACAAAAGTATCAAAACTCTGGGAAGTCCTAAAACAGGTGATATTTCTAAATCACCAAGAAAAATTATTAGATAGTGGCTCTCATGGTGGCATAGAGTATCTTCAGTTGGTTCCATTTCTATCCAGTTTTTTCTCTAAATGATATTAGTTTATAATTAATTTCATATAGTTACATGAAATTAATATAGAACTATAAACCTGTATTAGTAATTTGTTATTAATCCGTGCTGTATAAAATATGTTGAACTATTTAAAAATGAAAGAAGGATGAGAGGAAGATTAAGGATAATAAAAAAAATAGTGGTGATATTAGTAGATTTGTAAATTTTGTTAAAATTAATATGTATTAAAAACATATTAAAGACTTTTGCCCACAAGAAATAAAGCTGGAGGGGAGGGAGCAAACCAAGTAAATTCTAGTTTTATTAATTCTGTTAAGGAATATTAACTTTAATTTTGATTTAACAATATGATAAACTAATTTAAATATCACTTTTTAACTAAAATAACCATTTTCTCTGATTATATTTTTCAGAAACCATATTTGAGAAGTACATCCATCCAGTGCTATTTGTGCTTACTTCTGAACAGTCATTTTTTAACTGAGGCTGGCATTCATGTCTTCATTTTGGGGTAATTTTATCTATAGGCATAAATATGATCATGCTAGTGGCCATGACCATTCTTCTTCAATATCTTCTCTATGAAATTGATTTGTGTTCAGTTTGCCTACACCTGAGGTAGTCAGCATTTGGGCAGATTATGGAGACTCGGAGGAGGTTTGGTAAACACTGAGCATTCCTACATCCTAATAGTGTAGAAAAGAGCATCAACATCCTGCAGATAAATTAGACCTGTTGGTATATAACTACACTTGGAAGTGCATTTCTTATGAATATCCTGCATGACTTTCATTGCAGTAAAAATGGACGTTTAGGACTGGCTCATGTTACTCTTTTATCTATTCCCTGCCACTGACTTCTATCCTTTGAACCCTATCTTAGTTCATTTGGAAGCATTTCTTTCTTTTTTTAGACATTTTGTTTTTTCTCCTAGCAAACATTCATATTTTTCTACGGCTATTAACCAGCAAACATTCATGTTTTTCCACGGCTATTAACTTTTTTTTTTCTTTCTTAAATGCAACTAATACGTTGTGCTCTAGACCTAAGCAGCCACCCCATAGTTCTATAATCTGACTCAGTTCAGCCTTCCTCTACTCTTTATCTCACGGTGTGAGGAACTGTAGATTTGTGCAGATAAATCTTCCTCACAGGAAAGATTAGTGTTGGTTCTCGTGCTTCTATGAAAATCCATCAACTATCAACTATTTTTCGTGAAGCTTTAAGAATCATTCCATAGTCATTTGGTCAGTTATGTGGCTTTTATCCAGATTTTAAACTTTTGTTTTACCAACATTAATAAGTATATGATCACTCAGCCTAGATTGGGCTACAGTCTAGGCTGCAAGCATAGCAATGATATGCGCAGCATAAAAGGGGTGTGTTTAATATACTGTAAAGAATATTTAAATTTGCCCCATTGATGTGGCTCAGTGGTTGAGCATTGACCCAGGAACTAAGAGGTCACAGGTCGATTCCCAGTCAGGGCACACACCTGGGTTTTGGGCTCAGTCCCCAGTAAGGGTCTTGCAGGAGGCAGCTGATCTAAGATGTTTCTCTCACATCTATTTCTATCTCGCTATCCCTCTCCCTTCCATTCTCTAAAAAAACACACAATAAAAACATTTTTTAAAAAGGGAACATTTATATTCAAAATCACTATGTGAAAGTGATTACTGCTCATTTTTGAAAAAATAGATCTTTATTGATTTCAGAGAGAGGAAGAGAGAGGGAGAGAGAGATAGAAACATCAGTGATGAGTCATTGATCGGCTGCCTCCTGCACGCCCCCTACTGGGGATCGAGCCCGCAGCCCAGGCATGTGCCCTGACCAGGAATCGAACCTCAATCTCCAGGCTCAACCGGTGAGCCACGCCCATCTGGATGATTATTGCTCATTTTAAGAATTTTATGTATTTATTAGACTTAAAAGCCTCATGGGACCTCTACTTAAAGTTAAAACAGTAATTCATTCAAAAACATTCACTGAGCCCTACTACACATTAGGTGCTGTTTTTATTTCATTGTAATAAATTGCACCTGGTTTTTATAAGTTACTCCTTCAACTTAGGCTTTTCTCTAATCCAGGCTGGTCAGCCCCCGAGTTAGCTTAAAGCGTCAGGGTTGTCCTAGGTGTTCGGTGTTTCCGTTCATCCACAGGGCCGATCGTTGAATGCACAAAGGCAAGGAGGACACTCATCTTTTCACTGGTCGGGATAAGACATTCTAGCTTGCTCTTTCACCTTTAGTATTTATCAAAACAGTACTATGGTCATGCAAAATGCTTTACTTTTTGGTTTTGCTTTCAGCTGTATCAGTGTGAGTCTTCCTAAAACAGAAGCAAACTGGCATGATGTAATAAGTGATTTGAAAAAATTTGAAACTCTTATTCAGGTAAGTACCTATTTTTCCATAAACTGTCTGGTATAACTGCTGTAGAGGAGGCCTGTCCCTGTGTTTTGCTGTCAGTCTTAATGCAGTCTCACTTGAAACAATATTTTTGTAGAAATTAGTGAGCCTTGTGAAGTCTTAAATGAAAACTTTTACTTACAATTTTCAGATCCCAATGATCTTTAAACTCAATTTAAAAGTGGTCTAGCGTGAAGAGCTCTCTGTCACCACAGCTCAGAGATTCACTTTTTTTACTAGAGAAACTAGACATCTTTGTGGCAGTTGCGAGAGGAATAGCCTGACCCTGGGAAAGGCTCCCTATTCTGTGGGCTAGAGAACCCCTCTCCAACCTAAAGCCACCCGCTGGCCTGGGAGAACCTACAGGATGCAGGGGGCAAAGAAAAGGGGCCCACTGACAACTGTGGTTAAGGAAGTATCTTCTGCCCCAGTGGGTGACACAGCAGGGACCAGAGAATCCCAGGGCCATTAAGTGTGCTACCCTTCCAAATGAGCACCACAACAATTCTGAAAACTTAACTGTCCTTGGAATCCCAGCGCACAAACAGGTCAGAATCTGCTTACTAAACCTAATCAAGGTGGCTGCAGGCCAAATTAGAACATTAAACAGGACCAGTATCTCCTAATGTCATGGCCAAAATACCTGAATACAATTGAAAATCACTCATCATATGGAGGAGCAGGAAAAACCACAACTTGAGTGAGAAAAGATAACAGACAGACTTTGAAACTGACATGAATTAGATGTCAGAATTATTAGACAAGGATTTTCAAGCAGCCATCATAAAAATGTACCCACAGGCAATTACAGATATTTTTGAAACAACTGAAAAAATCAGAAAGTGTTAGCAGAATAATAACAATGTGTAAAAGGAACCAAATATAATATGAAAATTATAATAACTAAAATACAGAACCATTGATGCAATTGCATAAAACTACACACACTTTAGTTCACACTAAACTGGTGAGATCTGAACAAGGTAGGTGGATCGTATCAATGTAATTTTCTGATTGTAATCTTGTACTATGGTTATGTAGGATATCACCATTGCGGGGAAATTGTGAAGGGTACACAGGGTCTCACTGTATTTTCTCTTACTATTGTACACGAATCTAAAATTATCTCAAAGAATTTAATTTAAAAAGCTTAATTTAATGTTGTCAGTAGATCATTCTCAATATATCTAAAGCAGTGCATGGTTTTTATATTATCTAATTTTGTTCCCTTTCAGTCTATACATATTGATGCCACTTTATATACTGAGAGCAATGTTGATGTGAGTACAGTTTTTTATTTTCTCAAAATTTCTCTATTTTCTAGTTTTCAAAAGTCTAAGAAGTATATATTTATAAGTTTACTAAAATGTATAGTTTTAAAATCTAAATTTTGGTGTTTTCTTACATGATCAATACATTTTTATAAGTAATTATTGAGATTGTAGGACTTGGGAACAAAGAGCTACATCGATGTTATTTTGTGAAATACATAAAAGCCTTTTCCATCAATGTCAAACAAAATATATTATATAATTTTGTGATGCAATTAGATCATGATGCAGTTAAATGCTAGAATCAAGTTAATAGATTCGATTTAAAAGTATCCAACATATCAGTTGTTTCCAGTGCTGTAGTATATTACCATCTTTAATCCTATTTCCTACAAATTGCTTAACTGCATTTATGATTCATATTTTGCACGAATCTCTGCAATTGTCAGAAAAGGATTCTGTCTGGTTTTTCTGTAAGAAGAGAAACAAACACAACCCAGAAAACCTATCAAAATTCAAAAATAATCTTGAACTTGTTACATCAATACCCTGGCATTGCCTAAGGCATGTACAATTTCAGTCATGTTGCTGGTCCTTTCCCTCTGGATTGGTTCCTAAAAATCAAGAAACAAATCCCTGACTTCTTCACCTCATATAAAACAAACTCCGTATTATGTACTATTCAGAACAGTGAATCCTCTCTATTATTTCTTAATTGAACTTCCTTGAAATAGAAGCTTTTGCCCCCATGAGGAATTTCTAAGTACTACTGGAAAGAAGCCATAGCCAGAAACGAGGAAAAACAGATATTCATCGACCACTTGCATTGTGCTGAGCACACAGAAATCGTCTCCCACCTTTGGCTTCAGCATGCTTTCCATTTTTCTTTGCATTTTTTCAAAGTAGAAAGCAGTCAACTAACCACCAACTCTCAGCATCCTGAGATTGCTGCTTTTTTTTTTTTTTTTTG